CGTGAGCATCCTTTACCAAAGGTTTTTAAAATACGAAGCCAGTCCAGTGGCCTTGATATCTTACCCACCATAACTCTTTTTTCTAAATCAGTGGCTAGTAATTTTCATTATTATTGCAGTTCATATTTTTTTGTAATTTTTTTGAGAGGGGTGGGGGAATTCATAAAAAGTCGACTTTGTTAACTGATCATGTTTATATTCTTTAGTTACTAAATTTAAAGATATAAGTTTATTTCGATGACCTTACATACTCAGTCTCGAGCTCTGAACTGCGATGTTACAAGTATTAATATTTACTCTTGACATCAATGATAGAGAGATCCTCAAAAAGAATTTTGTTTTTGTTTAAATTATTAGGAACATGCAAAAGTACGAAACACCAGATAGCTGTGTAAAATCGGTGTTTAAAATCAGCCCACTTAAAATCGTCATGGATAGGATATATTTTCACAAAATGAGAAGTCACTTTCCAGTTGGGAAATTCGAATTCATGTTAATTTGGTAAGAGTAAAAGTTGTACTACTGAACAAATTGGCGAAGAAATATCGCTCCTCAAAACCGTGGGAAGGATTCCTAGTAATGGCAGAATTTTTTCAGGCAGTTGCAGAGGATTTTCCAGGTCCAGCGAATCTGTCAAACAATTCCGTCTGAGTTTCAACTGAATTGTAACAGAGTAAGACCGGATCGAACATGTCTCGGTCGTGGAAAGTGAGCTCCGCGATTCCCAGTGATGGTTCCGCGATTCGCAGGTAATCATGTAAGTAATGGATGGATCGTAATACAAGCTTTGTAAAAACGATTGTGAAACGGCAATACCGCTTTATTCTGACGGCCCTGGGAGAAAATATGTCCTCGTTTTGGGCGTCTCTGCCAAAAACAAAACTATAATTTTTCCTAGCTAACCACTAGCATAATGCATTATTGGTGGCTAAAAATAACAATAAGCTCATCATATATGGCTTATGTCAACAAAATGTAATACTACTTAATAAGTAGTTTTACTTAATTCAGATTAAAAGCTCAAATGGGTTTACCAGGCTGGTTCATGCGCCCGCGGACGTTCGTCTAGATATGAAGCACGCGAAAGTTTGGAACTCACGAGAGATGTGTGAGAGTAGCTTCAGGCGTAGCCCAGAGTAATACTGGCTTGGTAGTTAAAAAACCTAAAACATAACACCTTCGCCTTCTCCAAAGGCCAAGCTAAAATGCTACAGGTACATTTAATTACCCTTTCCCTAGGCTAAAACACTGAATAAAAAATGGAGGAAAATTACCAGATGCATACTAAGAAATTCAAGATCTAAGATACAGTCGCGGAACATCCGTGGGAATTAGATTTCCAGGCATACAAATTTGTCGGATTACCAGAGAATCGTATGCTAGCCAAAAATTAGAACTATGAAAATGAAAAGCAGAACAAAAATGATCGAGAAATATTTTGAGAAAAAACTTTATGCAAATATATGCTACATTCGTTGTTAAAAGTAAAAAATGTAGGCCCAAATTTTTTGCGCGCACAAAACCCGCGCAGATACATTTACTGTTACTCAAATCTTGTTTACTCCACTTCACGGTTCGACAATTGCGCAGCCGCAGCGTTACGTTGAAAAAAGTTATGGGATTTAACTCAAAGTCGTCTATTAAACAGTACTCCTTGGGCATATAGAAACTTAAAAATAATATTTATTGCTCCAAAGTATGGCTCAAATAGCTCAAAAATTCACTTGAGGTCGACAAGATCATTGTTCAGAAGCGAAGTATCGAGAACTATAGAGCACATTTTAAAATTGAACTTTCCTCAGCATGTTTACTCTTCTTTGTAGGCTCCTAAAAGTCTATCTCTTGAGGCTAACAATAGTAAAACTATCTTAATAAAATCTGAAACAAAATTGCTCAGGTCAGGACATTGCCTCATTGCACAGAACTTTCGACGAGATAGAAAGCAACATGGCAGCACGTCTCAAATTTAGTAGAATCGGTTGAGAAGGACGATCGAAGAGCCAACCTCTTTCTGAGGTTCTTCTCCTTTTTCGAATGCCGCCCCTGTTCGGAGATGAGGCTTTCATTGAAAAAATTTCATGAAAAGTGTGCTGGCAAGGGAGATAGCTTCGGGTACTGGTATTTACTAGACAAAATATTTTGTCTAATCTACCCTGCCCCCATCGCCTTCGGGTCAAAAGCTTAGATCTCGTGTTGGTAGTGTTTATTCAACTTTTTTTATTTCTTTGGGAAGCTTAAACATGACTCAGGACTTTAAAATTAAACTAGCCTGCAGTGCGGGCGTCTTATTAGTGCGAGCTAACGTTAAAAGCTCGCAATCGTTTATCCGACCGGCCATGTTTGATTTGGAGTTGGAGTGGACGGTGGGGTTGGGGGCCGGGGAAGAGTGAGAAGACGCCTGCTCAAAGGGGAAAGCAAAACACCCCATGATCCCCTTGATTACTTGCGCGTCACGGAACGGAGTTTTGCAAAATGACAATGACTTCGGGCAGGCGTAATCTTCATTTCCCCATCCCCACCTCACTCCTTTTTTTTGACCGTCGACCATCCCCTTGGTACAGATTTCCTTCCCTCCCCAGCCATCCGCTGCCATTGAAATGAAAGATGGCAGCCATAATTTTCGTTAAGAAAGTACTAAGCACTCGCTGGCCAAAATTACGCCTGACCTGCAGGCGGAAATTAAGCAAGAAGTGTACATTTATCATGTATTTTTCCAATTATCTTGGATGGCGATGTCGCGTGTTTATCAACTCTGACTTAAGACTCTGCACGTGGCTCTGAAGGAGGTTTTTTTGTCATACACAATGATTGCAGAACAACAAAGGCTTAATACGTAGCTTGACTAAACCCAATCATTGAGGCACCGATGAAGCGACAGGTTCTGACACATCTTTATTAATTTGAATAAAGCCAATGACAGTTCTGTAAATAACCCCACACAATCCATCGCCAAAAGGCGTCCAATTTACAGATATAATCTTCAAAGCCCGTTTTAATTGAAGAACGGGCGGGAAACTGATAAAAACAATAATAATTGTAATGTGCCACAGCTGTGTGCAAGTGCTGCTGTGGTACAAAATTGCTAGGAATATAAAACTAGAGGATTTCAAAAGATATGGGTGGGGATCTTGCATGTTGTTTTCACGGAAAAGACGGAAAATGTTCGATTTAATTATATTATAGCAATAGACTGCACTTTATCTTGGTTTGCTGGCATAAAAACCCACCAGGGATGATGGGAGAGAAGTTTATAAATAATTATTTTCCGGCCTGCTTGTGATTTATAAACTATTCTTGATTCTCTATTCTCCCAACATCCCGCATGGGTTAACACGCCGGTAAACCGAGAGAAAATGCAGTGTATTGCTCTTATAGTGCAATAAACGATAGATTCTTGACCATCAGAGCGCATGTATTACCTAAGTTATTTTATAACATTCAATAATAGCTACCTCCCCTCTTCGAGTTTACCTCCAGACACCACCTTGACATGAATTTGCATATCTTATTATTATCATTATTTCTAATTCTGCCAAGAGTAAAATTTTATTCCACGGTCGTATCGATTAGAAATTGCGTAGAGGACCTTAAAAACCGAGTGATGAGTCTAATTCGAAATTTATCTTGGTAATGTAACGAATAGAACCCCACATTACTGAAAAGCTTAGGGTAAAAAAAGGAATTAAAAGGGATTAAAACGAGTAAGCCTCCTTAATCGAATGTCAATATTATAAATTCATCGTGGGAGGAAATGAGATCCAAACAGTGACGTCACTTACACCGTTTCTCAGGGACCAGTGAATGGGCGCCAACTGTTTCATCAACGTAAGTGTAAACGTTGCCTTTAATCCTCGTTCGAAAGCTGCTTAACAACGTAACATCCTCATGGTATACGAATACTTGAATATGTATGGGCGTGAAGTAACACAAAGGAAAACAACTAACCTCTACCGAAAAGAAAAAACGAAAAAGTTAATTGGTTTCGCGCCACAAAATGCAAATAGATCTCAACCAAACGCATGATCAGTCATGCATGAAACGAGTAAGTCGTTAATAGCAGTGGTCAATATTACTGTTAACCGCGTGACTGGGATACTATGAATCTCTGGTGAATATCTATTGAATGATAGCGATCACTGAATGTAAATTTTAGCTTAAAGAAACGATGAAGTGTGAGAAAAACACACTTCCTTTTTTTACTAAGTTACTTTGCAGTCGTTGCGATTAAACTAGAAAAATTGACAATTTTCTCCGCGTAAGGCCAAATTTCTACCCTCCGAAAAATCTAGTGGCTCTCATATATTACCAAATTAACGTTCTATCATTGTTAACATCGTAAGGCCCTCTTGACTGTCACTCGCTGGCAAGGATTAAACTTTATTTAGTTTATGACGGTTTCGACGGCGGTCATCGGTCCATCTTGTTTCAGGCAGAGCATAGACAGCTCACATGTCTGTTTCCGTGACATCCGACTGATGTTCAGTGAAAGAGTTGATGTCGAAGGTCCATGCCATAGTTCGAATTTTTGATACTGAACGCCTTCTTCTCTCTCTATATCCGGATAACATGGCTGTACGATCATAAATTCAAATGGTTATTAATATTGAAACATCTTCGAGGTGACGATACTCTTATTTTGATCAAAATGTTTCTTCTCACAAGCTGAACGATTGGGTTTTGTAAAGAAAACAGTTAAAAGAAATTGGATACTGATAATATTATCATCACTGGAATAGCCTAATGGCCTTAAAGGACAATATTATAGCGGAGTATTTGTCGAACCGGCTGTGATCAGCAGAAATGAAATTCGCTTGAAGATTTTGGCGGAAATATTTAACATTCCCTGCAAATACACATTTTGCTAAAAAATTATTATCTGTCCTGAGTCACATAACTCAGT